TTTTATGGGCCATCTCAGTAAAAATCCATGGGGCATTACAAACACCAAACGGCATCCGCTTGTAACAGTACTTGCCAGAGTTGGTGACAAAGGCTGTCCTTTCGACGTGGTCAGGATGAACAGGAATCTGCCAGTACGCTGACTGGACGTCTGCAACGCTGATGAACTTGGCGCTGCCGACAGAGTCAAGGTTGGACTCCATGTTCGCTAGAGGCCAGGTCTTGCGAATGAGGTGCTTGTTGACGGTGCTTCGGAAATCGACGCAAAAACGAGGTTTACCATCTTTACGCGCGACGAGAGTAACGGGGGAACCCCACTGACTAGGCAGCTCTTCGATGATCAAAGTTCAAAGTATGTTTTTTCACAGCGGTGGTGGGGGCACGAAAAATCGTAGTTTTCCGGTTCCGCCGCGTTTTTGGTGAAACGGTATATTCGGCATAACTCGTCACCAAGGTGTCTGTGAAAGCTAAAAGTGGGTTCATTCGAAAGCCCTGGTTCATAGCTTTCGAATGGTGTTTACTTTGTTGGATAAATAACCAGGCCCTAGAGAGAAATTTACCAAGTGGCCTGTGGGCGGGTCCAGGAAAACTACCACTTTACCAACAAGTTTCTCTCGTTCACTGCTTGTCTTTGTGGAAGAACAGTAACGTCGTCTAGACTAGTCTTGCTTGAAAACAGAAGACAGGCGACCCTGGTTGTTAGAAGGGGCTACCGATGTTTCCTCTGTAGACCCTTGACGTTGAATCGATCGGGGTTTAGATGTGCTTGTGTTTCGTCATGTGTTTCTCATTGCTTCGGTCTTCTAGCCGTGGTGACTCGTGGAGGTATCATAGTTTCGAGAGAGAGCGAGCTAAGGGGTTGGCCCCCGCGCGTTGTGGTGGTGGTATGGCTAAAAAATGAGAGCAGCTGATCCCAAGGGAGTCACTTTAATGTACTGTGTGAAAAGAGGGAATCGTCCTAGACAGACGTTGGGGAGATTGTGCCTTTATGAAGGTGGTCTGTCTCCGTATTACTCCCCCCTTTTTCGAGACTTCTTGTTGATTAGGCAAGATAAGTCTTCTAAGGGTAACCGGAACCCGACCGGCTGCGGCGGGGCGATTCACTTCTTCTCTTCTCTGTGCGTGTTCCACGAGTTCGCTACGTCCGCCACGTCATCAGAAGTTCCGAGTTCGATAATCAGTGCGTCCTTCTTTGGCCCGCCCAACGTTATTTTCTTTTTCCGCATTCCGGAAGAAAATTTGGTGAGCAGCGGATGTTGAACTCGTGTCTTTTGCAACCAAAAGCAGACACTCTGTTTGTGTACTTGGATATGAGTCCGATCTGTGCATCCTCTGTGGGAGGATACGCGTATGGGAACTATGGGTGTGATGGGTATGTATGCGGTTGAGGTCCAAGTGCGGGGCCTCCGGGTGAGCACACGGGGGTGTGCTCCCGGGACTTGCCTGAGGGGCTTACGTGTTGGTGACCAGCTTGCCTGAGGGGCTTGCGTGACGGATATGTAAATACATGGTTCTTTTTCATCTGCTGTTCCTGGGATAACATTGCACCCAGTCTCAACACCACAGACCGCTGAGGGCGGCAGTGCACACTAACTCGATAATATCGAGTTCTTGCCGGCACTGCACGTGAGACAAAATCGACGCTAAGATGCATTTGCGTGACTCTAATACTACCCAGAGAGGCTTGCTCTCTGAGAGGTTGTGTGTAGTACTGGATGGCACAAGAAATGCAGTTGTATGTGGTACTTTTTGAGCGATGTATCACGTCTTTGTGAGCGTTTTGTGAGCGCTACAAGGATGCATTTCAATCGGTCGTCGGTAATAATGTGCCGTCGCTACATTTAAGCTCTGGAAGGGGGATCAGGATGCCAGCCCCATCCTCGCGCTCTCCAAGTGAGCACAGAGCGAACCCGGTCTAAAAGGATAAGACAAGAAAAGGTGAATAGCAACTATCTGTGAGGTCCTCAATGCAGGGAGAATGACGAATATTCTTCAATCGGAATTTGTGGAGGTGGTGTAGACAGCTCTGACGACCTGCAGGCGATGTACGAAGTTTGGTAGGGCTGCTCCGAGCTGAAATAATACTGCTCCCCGAAAACCATTTCAAAAATTGCTGCGACAATCACGAAACCACCGGAGTTGTTTGATTTCGAAAAACCACGTGCTTATCGACACACAGATTGTTCACGTTACATGGCAACACTCCTCTTGAGCATCACGTCACGTTGTCAATCAGCAATTTTTCTCTCTTTAATGATGCAGAAGATACGGTTAAACGTGTGGAAACGGACGTGATGGACTGCAAGGAGTATCACACCTGTGTAGAGGCCCCTGCCCCTCGCTCCCTGGATCCGTCTCCTCGTTACCCGTAGCAGCTACAACGAACGCTTCTGCTCTCCAGCGCCCCCTGTGTACTGCACAACCAACCCCCGTCTACATATACATCTCGTATCCCGTACACCACCATTCATTCGCCAGTGTCGCCAATCGCTCATCATATCATATCCAGTAGATGGGCGTTGCCTTGACCCTATCTCACGCCAATACTCCGTACTTTTCTGGCTGAGGATCGGTCCGTAGACGAAGGCACGACGGACTTCCGGACACTATTTGTCAAGCCATCAGGACTGTTCCGACGTCCAAAACTACAACCCCCGAAGGGCACGCGTGCACGACCTAAACCCATGCAGATTATCAAAGTAGCAATATATTACGGGTTTTCAACGCCCACCGGACGAACGAGATGAACAACGATAATCTCCGCGAGTCCTAAAACATGATATACACAACAAGCAGTATCCGCCGGATGTCACTCTGAGGGAACAGTCTGCTACTGCAAATGGTAAACACGTAGTACACCCGGAAGCCTGACAGATTGGTTCCCTGCTTAGCTGATGATGATGACCGCTACTCTGGCTGGAGAATGAATGCGTATACACGTCTGACTGATTGCTTCTCCCTGAGTGTAGCTAAACATCGAAGCACATCCAGATTTGGGCTGAAATATTGATTGGTGCACTGAATAGGAAGAGGGGCGCCTCCGTCCCGTGCGTGGAGAAAACGGCGAGAAAAATCACTACCTTTGTCGGAACAGCCATTGCTGCAGCCACAACCATCGCCATCTCTACCTAACGTTTCGCCACCATTAGGCCCCGATCTGGTACCCCGCCTTCAATGCACTTCGTGTTCGTGTGTCTGGATACGAGCATGGTAGATCTGCTAGCACATAGCAGCACGGGGGGGTACGTAGACAGGAGCATGCGTATGCCTGAAGAAGGCTACTATGTGTGGCCTCCCCTTCCCCGAATTCGGGAGGGCCACTTCATCTTCCGCTCCTCACAAAACTCAGATTTCAACGCCTCTGTCTCTGCAATCTTCTGCTTTCGAAATTTGTCATTATTATTTTGCGTACCCCCTTTGCTCGCCAAGGGGGTGTTCCGCGGTAAAGACGAATAGTTTCCACGAGTTTTTCAATGAGCAGCAAGAAACGGTTCCCAACCTCTGAAAATTTGTACCAACATCCATTAGGTCACGAGGATCACGAAAATATACTTATTTTCCCATTTCGATGTCGTGGTGATGACTTATTGATGAATTAGTGGCCATAATTGGGTGAAAATCGCGTCTGCGGCCCCCCCGAGTAAGTTGCAAACGCCTCCGAATCGTTTAAAATTTGCAGGCTAGGGTAATCTTGTGTTGTACATCAAGAATCCGTCGTCAGAATTTCGATCAGGATCGATGCGGCCGTGATACAGCTACGCACTGATCTATATGCGCGAAAGCAGGGAAAACCTGGAATTACTAGGAATTACACTGAAATATACCCCCCCCGCAACACTTTCTACATGTTGATTCAATCTCTCCTGACTTCGAATTAGGGTAATTTTTGGGTGGGGATCACAAATATATTGTTGGAATGTCCCAGTTTTGATTTGCAATGGACTTTCAGCTGCTCAAAAGCTGACAGTCGCTGAGCAATTTCAAAATTCCTGGGATTTTGGATTCTCGGTTCCCACGTCGAGTTTTTGTCTGATCAACTTTCTGAGTGGCTCTGCCCCCTCTAATTCGGCCAAGCGGAATCGATTGCCGAGGAGAAATGGAGGCGCCGAAATCGGCAACGCGGTGAAAAAAAACAATCAAGGCGATCCGATCACATTTTTTTTGTTTCTCTTTTTTTAATGCTTTTAAACGTCGTTTTAGACTTGTATCCAAAAACGGTTTTTCACTCGAGTTTTTCCTCGCCGCGGGAGAGACAATTCGTCTTTACCGCGGAACACTGCCAAGGGGGAGGGGAAAAGAGCGGAGACCAGGCAGGGCAACACCACACACGCCCCCAGTCTACTCCTTACGATCAGTATAAACATCAAATGAGCCACCCAACAGACAGAGACATATAAACTCTGTCTGCCCCCCACAACCGCTGATAGTACCACACCGGCTTGTTCATACTACTGAAACCACGAGAGAACCCCACTAGGCCCATCAACATTAGTATTGCCATTTGGCGAAACACCCGGCCGGGCCACCAGAGAAAAAAAAAAAAACATTTCTCGTCTCTCGCTACTCTCGGTTCCCCTGACCTTCCCATCGCACTACAGAAAAACACGCATGCATGTACCCGGACACCAGGACACCCACATATAAGCCATATTATATGTATGCGTATCCACTTATCAATCAGACTCGTCACGCACGTAACGGGGAAGCGCGTAGCACCAACATAGCCACACACAGCAGCCAGGAGTGCACTCCCCCAACCATGCAACGGCCCGATACACCCAACAACATGCGTCCTGCATATACAACCTGAAATGCGATNTGCGGCTACACAGTGAGTCCCCCCCGACGGACACTCACCCTGAACACAACGCCGCTGCTCCTATTTCCATGTCCACTGACACCCCCAAAAGCAAGGGTGGGTGGGTGGGAAAAAGAAACGTCACAGCAGAAAACAACCCTTGGCCACCACACGCACACGTGCTCTCGCTCGCCCCAGGTAAACACGGCGAAGCGAGTAGACTGAAAACAGAAACCAACACGCTCGTCCGCTTCCTGCTTTCTGATTGGCCAAATGTTTATTTCTGCCGCTTCTCACAAAATGCAGATTTCCCTTACTTCGTCAGTCAATCTTTCGCTTTTCTCGATGCTTTCGAAGTTTGTCATCATTATTTTGCGTACCCCCTTTGCTCGCCAAGGGGGAGGG